TCCTACAAGTAATTTATTAGAGGCCCAAGCTTGTCTGTACATACTGGTATTTCTGATAAACTGGTCTAAATATAGCAACCTCCCACAGAGGTGTCGCCACCGGACCGGCTTTAAATAGCTCTCCTGACCAATCTTCATACTTGGATTGTATCCAAATGCATCCTTCAGACTTTCCCTAATAAAATAACATTTAATACATGGCGTGAGTGCGATTACTTTGTGAATGAAACTCAATGGTGTGTTTGAATGGTTTTTTACCGCGAAAATATAATGAAATAATTTAATTGACATTCTCGAATACGTTTACACGTTTCTTTTAATATACTCACGACAACTATAACAAAATTAAACGCTATCTAGGCTTATTACGAAACAATTTCCGAAAGTTTAAAATCATACTTATAATATGACTAGCTGTTCTCGTGCGACTTCATCCGCATAAAATTATGAAAATTTCATTTTATTGTTTACATGTGTCAAATTATCAATTGCAAATGTCAAAATGATGTGACATGATGACAATCCATGACAACCTTGCTTCCTTGATGTTGGCAGCAACTTATAGTCTCTTTCCCACATTAGGGTTTTTATCCAAAATATTTACCCATAAGTTTTATGGCGTGAAAATATATAGTCTAAAGCGTGACGTAAGTGTAGGGCTTTTTATTAAAAAAAGAGTTATTGGAAAACATGCCGTGATTGCTGACATCTTAGGCAACAAAGAAGTATGTGTTTACGCTTTATTATAATAGTATAGATAGTGTAGATAAATTTGAAAGTTTAGATGGATGTTTGTTAGTTTGTAGCCTACACTGCTGAACGGATCTTAACGATATTTGGCATAGATGTAGAGGATACTCTAGAAGAACACATAGACTACTTGGTTGTTTTTTTCATACCACGCGGACGGAGTCGCGAGCGAAAGCTAGTAAGAAAATAATAACTTGAATCGAATGTTTAAAAACAGACTGGTATGTTTAATAAGGATATTGTATAAAATCTTAATATAAGGCGGATATAACATAGTTAAAACTAAAAATCTCTTCCATAAAGCAGTGTTGTAAACACATAAAACATGCTGTAAACAAGGGAAGAGTTTTCTGTGAATTTTTAAGCACGTGTGAGGTAATTGTATAAACAAAGCTGGTAGTCTGTTTAGCGCATTGCCTCGGATTTACGAGTAACAAGTTACACGAGTGTTCTGCACGTATGCATACATTCCTATTGATTTTAAACAACTCGTTTTTAACAAGGATTTCCACTCTAAACACACATCTTTGTGAGATATGCTTATCATCCTTTCTAGCGTGGTTAAGGCTATGTCCTATCCTTTGAAGTAAATTCTATTCCCTCTCTATTTAGACATTTGTAGACCATCTAACGTTCGAATAAGATCGCTATAAGTTAATACCGTAGCATACTTTATCTTTATGCGAAAGATTGCACAGAATGCCGCTCGTATCAACTTATTTAAACAACAACGTATAACATTACCCGACCACTTCACATCGTATTGTGGTCAAGTGGTAAATGTAAAAATTATGTAAGGTGAAACATTTTTCTGCAACTTTGAATAAATAACTAAATAGACGTAACATTTAGATTACAACACGGCGAAACATCCACTAAAACATACATAACTTCATTAATAATGGGTTTCTGAAATTCCCACTTATTTTACCATTACCTAGCGATTTATTACTGTTACGTTGACCCGGTTTGAATAAATAAAAACTCAAGTAACATAGTTTTAAAATGCATTTCAATTAATCGAACCAAAAACTTTAACGAATGGTTAACTATAGGTGGGAAACCGGCCATAAATAAACTAATCTTAATTGAAAAAAAACCTTGGCAGGTGTCAGTTGTGTGAACACTGACTGGCATGCTAGTACCTAGCATGATCTTGTCTTTGTCACCTACGTGCAAGTGAGTTAAATGAGGGAATCGGAGGGTACAAAACTTGGCTGCCACGTTTCGTCTCAAACGATTTCGTTGATATTTTACTGGCAAGTGTGTTGTTACGGTCATGCCTGCTACTACTCTATTTTACTGGCATATGTATTTTTCTTTTTTTACCATATACGAATAGATTAATCAAATCACCTTTGCGTCCTCATTCGTATGTTTACATTTGGCTCCAAAATTAACTACAACAATTGGTCTGCCTTAATCCATCATAATTACGAGGATGTCATATCTAGGTTAAGCAAATTTTCCTCAATTTATACGTTTAACTTACAGCTTAAAGTTAGCTTGTTGTATATCAGGCCTTTATGGACTGGATTACATCTGTTAAATGCGGGTTTCCTTCTCTCTACATGATTAATTCTTCGTAAGATTCTCAGTAAAAGCGATTACGTCAATTTGTATTGTGGAATAAAATCTTTTTAAAAAATAGCTTAGAAAGATGGATGTTTGTTAAAGGTTGTAGCCTAAAAAAATCTGGATGAAATTTCGCATACATGTAGAGGATAGTGTGGAAGAACACATAGGCAACTTACTTGTTTTTTTTTTAAGAATTCGCGGTCGATTCTAGTTTTTAATAAAAAATTATTAACATCACGTTGCATATTTCCAATGTCGCACAGTTATGCCAAATAATAGGAAAACTATGTCAAAGCAACCGTGAACTTTAAAACATTTCAAGTATATGCGCGTGTTACCTAAAGTATGCTAAACTCAAGGTAAAACTTAGCTGTGATAAAACATGCTACTGTAGAATTCGAATATGTGATATTTTTGGATAGAATTATTATAAATGACATAACCAAACACGCAGGAAAAAAACAAAGTGACGTGATATTCGACACAAGATGCTGATCTTTTTAAAATAAACCTATAAATTGGAATATCTGTATAAATTATTGACAACGAAACATACTTCGCAAACATAATGTACGCTGCGATAAGCGTTGCTGATTACATTTTTTTTAAATTGTCTGTGTATCCGCATGCCGCATTTGTTACCGGTAATCTCCGGAAACGCTTGAGTGATTTTGACGGGACTTTAACAGGAAAGTATCTAATACACGCAGGAGTGTTTTAAGCTACTTTTTTCAATCTCACACTGGCGAAGTCGCAGGCGACCGTTAGTTTACAACACATTTGTAATTTAAAATGTATCTTGTTAAGGTCGTAGTTGTGTAATGCCTTATAATGCGTAGGATGTATACAAAGTATAAATTCCTTGGATATCCGATAAATGTTTGTGTAAATAACACAACATACTAGTAATCTTATCCAAAACTATCCAACAATAGTTTGTTCACTTCGGATAATTACAAGAAAAAATTCTTACATCCAAATTACTAGATTTATCACAGTTAATGGTTAATCTTCAACCCAATAAATACCAATTTTAATCCAACCGTTCTAAAAGGAAACAAAGCAAATATAATTACTTATGCACCTTCCTATAAACTTACAAATGGGTTAATTATCATAACATAACTAGACTTTTCCTTCCTTAATCGTGCAAAAGCAATGACTGAGCTAAAATGCAGTTTTCATCCTTTGAGGGTTTCCATCGTAGTTCCCAGGTTCATAATACTAATCTATAGAACCTATTTCCTTTACGATCAAAGATAAAGGGCAACGTTTTAATAAAAAATAAAGCATTTACGTCCTTGACTATTCTTTGGTTTTATTGGAATTTGATCCCTAACACAAATTAGTCTCTAAAAGTTGGCGCTCGGCCAAAGAGTAACTTGGGACAAAAAATTCCTCCCATCTCACATAGAGTATGAAAATATAGAACTGATAGATATTGGTGGGTTAAATTGCTCTCTGAATCTCTAGCTTTAAATATAACGTAGGGAGAGCGTGTAACAATTATTGCATGGCTTCGTGTGAGTACAATTAGTGAATATTTACATACATGCCAGCAGGAGTTACGTCACAGAAAAACAATCAACACAAACGTTATGAAGTCATTAACGTGGTGTCAATTGTGTTAATACATTGAGTATGGTCAAAATAAACAATGAACAAGGAAAAGAATAATTTAAAATTGATATCAATGTTTGAAAATTAACAACAAAACAAAAGTCTGCGTGTAGGATGACTGAGATCGCTGCCCTATTGCCTTAAGCTACACGTTAGAGTAATCTAAACGATCCGATTGGTCAGATAAAACTGAACGTGTGTAACGGGCTTAAGTTACACTTAAAACTTGGTTAACTCCTAATTTTATTCAAGTTACAAATATGGTCCTATGGTCAATGATTTATACGCTCCATATACGTTTATTTGTAGATGCCAAATTTACATACACACCTCGGTCTCATTTCGGCGCTGCCTAGCCCGACCTCTCAGATTATATCACTGTTATATCACTTACATGTCTAACATTCGGAGGCCCGAGTCTTTCCAAACAACCGGAACTAGTTTTAAATATAAAATTTGGTTCTGTATTAATTTACTCGTATAAAATGTAAGGGTATTTGTTGCTGATATTGCAACTTGTCTACCTTTTTAAACGCCAAGGTCAGCGTCGCATAAAGCCACCAAAAAAACTCGTATATTTGCAAAATATGCTACTGCTTGTCTCACTCAGGCGAAAGTAAGATGTAACAACTTCCTATATTATAAAAACTATGACGTACACATGTTTGGCTTGAATAAAGATGTTTGAAAACATTTTATTTTTGTGTTCTAAAAACTTCGACTATGAGTCAATATCGCACGTAATAAATAAAATTGTTATTATTACTTTTGTAATACGAAACTGTGATTATATTTTTAATTTCATGTATTTTATTTAATATAGATAACGCCCGATAATGACTTGTAGTTAAAAGATAAAAGTCAACTTCATAACACAACATTACTCATCAGGTTAAAATATTAACATTTTAAAGGAACAATAACATTCCGGTTTTCATTGAAGTGTTGTAAAAACCCGTCATTGTACATTTTGTCGTTGTATTGAAGCAAAGAGAATCCAACGGAATGGCGGGCGGCGGGCACACGCCGTGCGTTGCCACTTTCGCTCCAACTCGGTATCGTTCGGTCAACCTCGCAAGCGACAGCTGACCGAGTTCGAGTGCGAGCGAGACAAAAGAAGTGGTTACGCGCGTGACAGAAAGGGAGAAACGCGCCGCGCACCAACCAGCGCCGCCATTTATTTCTTTCAGTGCTCGCCTCCCGACTAGTGACAGCGTTTTTGATTATCGCAGGAGCTTACACGTTTTATTTGTGAAATTTGTGTATTCAAGTGTTATTACTATTTAATAAAAGTTTCTTGTGCATTTCGTGTGAGAGTGAGAATGCTGAGCGTTATGATATGTTAGAAAAACGTACGCAAATCACAATGGCAGGCGTCCGTACTTCGGTTGTCAACATAAAATGAGATTATGCAAGTTTGAAGTAGGATGCGGACGAATATTAGGTAAATAATGTGTTATATCGTTGTCTTAATGAAATAAATAGCGTGGTTTGTGTCGTGTCGCGTCCGCAGCTGGATGTTGTAGGTGCAGCGACGTATTGAAAGGTGAGCTAGCGACCGCGGCCGCTCCGTGCTCTGGGAGAGTGTCTAGGTACCGTATTGTCTACGCTTTGCATTTCACAGTATTCTTTCAATGCCATTGTTTAAAACAATCTTAATGCAAACATTCAATAATCAAAGAATATACAATTATAAATCAATGATGATGAATTTTTTTTATCGAAAGTGATTTAGAAGTTTAACTCGTTTAGTCTTTAAACCTGCCTCCTTTTAATAATATCGAATTCTTAGAATATCAAAACGACAAAAGGTATACGTGGCGATGTTTTATAAGGAAATTACATACGAATTGATAGAAGTTCATACAAAGATAATGTGAACACAAAAGCTCAGTTTGACACAAATTTTCAGAGATAGTGATTCAGTGTTTGATACCCAAAAGTCAAGATATTCTAGTTACTATAATTATAATCAGTTGATGGATATTCCTAATGTAGACTAAAGATTTTTTTACTTTCAATTAAATTTTTTAGACCGAAAATAATCAACAAAAAATTTTACCCAATAATATAAGTCACCAAATATAAAATTAGCTAAATGAATAAAAGTAAAACATATTTATACTGCAAAAAATATAATGGATCCTATTTATAATGTGAAACAGTAGTTTACTGTATAAGCTGTATGTCCAGGCCAATGAACGATAATTATGATAAAGCAACAACAGACCCACTTGGATACTAGTAGCAGGAATTTGCTAAGAAAAACTAAATTATTATTTACACAAATCAAAATAAACAAGATAGTACTTATAGTCAATTCCATCAAAAACATAATTTTTGCTTAAACACTTTTTGTGATGTAAAAAAAATGGAAAGGATCATTTTATGGATCATTTTAAATTAAATTCTAATTTGGAACATTTATAGCAAGTTTAATTACACTGGACAGTCCACTGTAATAAAATGTACATTCATATGTTATCAGTTAATTAACTATGATTGAAATATTAACTCATTTATGTACAAATTCAAGTCAAAACTAATATATTGTAAAGCACATATACTAAATTAGTCTAAAAAATAAAGAGTAAAGCAGTAGACTGTGATTTCAAAAGATCCATTGGAATGTAACAAGCTGATTTAAAACTGGAGTACTATAATTTAAACATACTTCTAATGACTACTGTTAAAATTTAGTAATATCCGTAACTAATTAAAAATATTTTATCATAATTTATTTATTGTTGTAGAAAAAAAATCCACAATGTAACAATAAACAAAGATTCCAAATAATTAAAGGCATAAATTTTGTTTTGTTTCAGTCAGTAAGACTATGAGGGTTGTAAAATAATGCGGTGGCTGCACAAAATATTGACGCTGGCAATAATTTGCGCAGCTGCGGGTGAGGAGTGCCCCTCCACCTGCAACTGCACCAGCGCGCGCCTGCAATGCTCCAACCTCACTGTCCCCGGTAACCATCTCAATAAGACCATCATCGCCAAGTATGGCACAGAGCTCAGAAACATCACCTGGACGGACTCCACCGTACAGGACTTAGATCAGGATCTCTTTCTAGGCCTATACAAGTTAGAATACATCGATTTAAGCAGAAACGAAATACAAAGGGCAAAGGACGAGCTGTTCGCAAGACTGAACAACTTGGTATACCTAAACCTATCGAGGAACAAGATCGACGACATACCTCGCTCCACGTTCAAGTTCCTAGACAACTTAGAGGTTCTGGACGTGTCACACAATCAGCTTCACGTGATACCATTCCAGGTCTTTGGGCCACTGACTAGGTTAAAATATTTGGATATATCTCATAATAAAATCGCAACATTCTTAGATTACTTTTTTAAGCCTAACCGCCAACTGAAACAACTGTTCCTAAATAATAATAGCCTAGTCGAAGTAACTTCGAAAGCTCTAGTCAACTTGCGGGAGTTGGAAATCCTCGACTTATCCGGAAATAAACTAGATTATATACCTAAGTCTATCTTAGATCATTTTGAACATCTTACGGATCTTAATCTTAGCTACAATAACTTCCAAAACATATCATACGATGCTTTTAAGAAACTATACAAATTAAATTGGCTCGACATGGGCGGCAACAGGCTCAGGTCGCTGCCGGCCGGCCTCTTCCAGAATAATGAAAATTTACAAACTTTCTACCTCGACAACACTCAGATCACAGTTATACAGAATACGAATTTTAAAGGTTTGAATAATTTACAGCGACTTTTTATTAGAGACAATCGTAATTTAAGTGAATTAGAAAGGTACGTTTTCGAAGATACGCCGGCGATAACACATTTGGATATAAGCGGCAACGATTTGACTTTTTTACCTTTAAGCTTAGAAAAACTAGATAAATTACAAGTTTTGAGAATGAATAAAAACCCGTGGGCTTGCGATTGTCGAATGGCGTGGTTCGCGGCTTGGGCTGAAAAGAGAAAGGATATAATCAGATCAGACCTGAGCTGTCGCCGAGCCTACCCTGGCGATATGCTGCGAGTCCTGAACGACACTAATTGCAAGCCGCCGCAGCTTATCTCGAGTAGCCCTCTGACGCTATACCGGCTTCAGACCGAGGCGCGACTCGAGTGCAAGTTCGACGGCAACCCGGCGCCTTCCATTACTTGGATCACACCGACGAGAGACGTCTACCATTGGAATCCAAACCCGTTGGTTCCAGACCTATTTCGAAAACATGGTACCGCACACGATCAATACTATCGCTGGATAGACAACGAGAGATCCCGTGTAAGAGTATTAGAAGACGGTAGTCTATTAATCACCGACATTCACAGAAAAGACACAGGAACTTATCTTTGTTACGCGACAAACCCTACTGCCAATGTAACAGCAGAGGTAATTTTGAACATCGACCCGATGACAATGTTTGAAATAAAGATCTACAGTCTGCTCTGTGGAGCGTTTTGTGCCGCGTTGTTCCTGGGAATGACTTTATTGATTCAAGCTATACGTTATATCTTCTACAGGTTGGTAGCGGTATTATTGTTTTATATAATAATTGTAATGAGTTTAAAGTAACATTTAAATGTGAATTTACAGATTCCGACTTCTGGAGACGTGCTGTAGTTGCTGTGCCTGCGTAAGCCGGGACGCGCCGCGCACGCGACAAATATACAGCATGCTGGACAACATAGAACAATACAAGAGACAGCAATTGGAGAAACTACGAGAGAACTACGCTGTTCAGGTAAATATTTGATGATTAATAGAATGATTTATATTTAAATTGGGCTAGTTATTTATGTTTGATTATTTTTAGGTTCATCGGATCAAGGATAACTGCACGCAGCAAATGGAATGGATACAGAATAGTTACTCGACGCAGGCAACTCATCTTCGCAACATCAGAGATATTGGCACCAACCATTTGACCGCTATGAAGGACCAATATTATGACCAGGTATGTACAGTCAAATTAGTTACAATGTATAAGCAACAATAATAATAGGTGATAATTCCGTTAATCATGTCGCATTTTTATTACATTTGTATAACGATTGCAGGTTAAATTTATAGTTATCTTTTTAAGACAGTTTCAGTTTATTAGTTACTGTGATCAGTTGCAAAAGCCTGTTAGTAATAGTACGTGTACATTTACAAACGCAGGTAAAACGGGTTCGAGAATACTCCACATCACAGTTGAACTGGGTCAGGGAGAACTACGTTTTCCAAAGGAACAAAATACGTAAATTCAGCGCTCATCAGATTCTTAGACTTCGCGAATCATACAAGTATCAACAGCAGACACTAAATAAAGTGTTGGAAAATCTTCCGACGCTGTACTTTGAGAACTGCCGCAGCGGATCATGCGGACGCAGCGACTCCATGGCTTTCGATCCGGACGTGGAAGTCATCGACATGTACCTCAAGACTAAGATAGAAAAGTTGTCGCACCTTCCCAACCCGATCACCGACGACGAAAGCAAAATGTCAGTCTATTACACGCCGACGGAGAGATCCGTGAACTCGAGGCGAAACTCGCCGCTGACTATCCCCGAGGGCATTCACATTAACATGATAGAGCGCGGCCCTCCCAAACTGATGGCGAAGATAAGGCCTCTGCAGCCGGTGCCGCCGCCGAGCCTCGACTTTACAACTCCGCCATCGACATCGAAAGCGGGCTTGTCAGTGGGACAGGTGAAGTATAAGTGCAACAGAGGCGAGTTGAAGCCGTTCAGCGAGCCGCTGCTGGGGCGGGAGCGCGGCAGGCGGCAGCTGGCGGTGAGCGCGAGTTCGCCGGAGCTGCGCAGCGAGGCGGAGAGCGCGGGCGAGCGGGGAGCGCGCGTGCTACTAGCGGTGGAGCTGGCCCAGCCCGAGTGCGAGCTGAAGCACGCGGCGGGCCAGCTGGTGTGCGGCGAGTGCGCGGCGCTGTGCGAGAACACGCCCTTGTAGTACAGGCTGCTCACGCGCGTGTTCAAGATCTACGCGGTGTCGGGCGGCACGCTGGCCCTGTACCAGCCGGCCGTGCCGCTGACGGACTTGAGCGGCTCCACGCCCTCCTACGTATGATTAGAGGTGGAGTGTTCACGTGTCGGACGCCTGTAGTGGCTGTGATAGACTGTGTGCGTTGTGCGGTGCGCGCCTCGTACCATCTCCTAGTGGTAGGTTAAGGATACTGAATCTGCTGTCGATGGTAGTGGAAAAATTGAAATGGTTTTCTAATAAGTGTTCTTTCTATGGGTATGGAATGTGTAAATACGTATTGTTTGTTTCGATTTATTTTCATTTCCATTTTGATGTATTTTTAAGGTATGAAAATCTTAGAGTATTATGCATTTTATATTTGTTCCGACTTAAAACTTAGGTAATGAAGGTGTAAGGAAATTGTTACTATCTTTGTTGTAACTGTTGCGACGTTATTGTAAATTGGTGTATCGTAGAGCTGAAACGATCTCTTCACACGAGCTGTATTTCCTTTCACTGCAACCAACTAGATTGTATGTATTATTGAGTCTGATTTAGTCAATTTTTTTTAATAAAAAAAAATCATGTTTGTTTTTTTATATAAATTATAATTAGTTACTTTGCGTTTGCCGATGCCTTATCGATCTGAAGTGTAACGAGTGCAACAGTGATATGCCAAAATACTACAATCCAGCAATGATTATATTATAAACGTTTCTTAATGTGAAATATACAAATATTGTTGAGAATTTTCTAAATATTATAAACAAGAGTAAATAGTAAATCATGGAGAATAAATTATTTTTCAATGTAATCTCTCTGGTTTTATTTACGTTCTGCGGTGAATTGACGCGCGCCTGTGCTGCGATATCTTGTCGACGACACAATTTGTGTTATGTTGTGAACGTCTATACAATTACTTATTCAACTTGTACTTTGTAAAATGGGAAATTCTAATGTTTTGAATAACTTTGTTTTGTGTTTCATAACGCTATTAATTGCTTTACGTTATCGTTCTCATACATTAATTTTCTCGAACTGATAGGAACTAAATAGACATCGTAAATTACGCTATTTGACCATGTACCGGAATAGGATCGATAGTCGGACAAATAAAACAAGAACTATAATACAATATAGTTTATTCCAAATATTCCGCCACACGATAACTAATTGGAATCGATTATTTCCTAATTACACCTAGTTTCACGTCGTAATACTATTTATAAAAAAATATTTGCATAGAATTTGAGTACATTTAATTCACGAATAACTTTTTCTTTAAAAAGCATACTAAATATTTGTATTGCGGAGGTCAAATTAATTTTTATTTTTGATAGAAGTAGATCTAGTTTTTAAACATTGCTAAATTGCATTTGTAGTTAGTTTTACTATTATATTATTATTTTAGAGAAGCTTTTTATTTGTGTTGGCACTATAGAATTTAATGGAGTTATTTAAAAAATAATTTAAAGAAAAATATAAAAAAAAATCTTTCATTTATATTTTAACGTAATTAGCATATAATAATAGCATTTTTAATTAAATAGATAATGTGATAGATGTAGGTTTTTAGAATTCAAAACTAAATCATTAGAGACGATGGGGACATAAATCAGAAAGTGTTAGGAATTAATGTATGGTTAGACCGAAAGTATGGTTGGATTGTGTGTAAGAGGATATGCTTAAGAAAGGAGTGGATTCAGATATAGGCTGATAGAGATGTATGGAGCAGAACATACTGTGTACCCTCCGTAAGGGATAAGGGCAAGTTGTTGATGTAGGTTTTTAGAATTATATACGAACATTTTCTTCTAACTTTTGCTTGTGAAATGTAAAACACGAACGTTTTAGCAGTAGTTTTAGTTAAAGCTTGACAATGAATATTCTACATGTAGGTGGCAAGTAGAAAGACTAGTTTAATTTATTTAATATTAATCTAAAATTTCTAACGTATACAAATAGATATTTCTTGTCATTGTTAAGTTATTAATAGGACTAAAAAAATAGCTAAGTATAGGAGTCAAAAGAGTTAATTTAATCGCTAAGTTCTTGTAGTAAGTTCGTTGTTTAGGCTGGTCATTGTGTGAGGCTTTACGCTATTGTAGCTTATTTATTAACTTAACAATATAAACGCAAAAGTATGTATAGTAGGATGGTGGTTGTTAATCAAAAGAATGACATAACTAATCAATAAACACAAATGTAACCCATAGCTAGGAAGTTCTTTCAGGCAATATTAATAGGCTATTATTTCTTAGCCGAGAGTCGCGGGCGACAGCTAGAGCTGGATCGCCTGTTATTAACCGATCTGACCGTACGCAAAACATTTACATATAATGTGATCTCTGTATAGATAACATATTTTTGTGAATGTTTTAGTAGTTCAAACTTGAGAATAAAGGAACATGAACAAATCCAATTCATTTTTAAAACTGAAACTTTCTTACGTTAGATGAATATTCGTTTCGCTTTATTGTTATCTATACTATTATAATAAAGAGTAAAGACACACTTCTTTATTGCCTAAGATGTCAGCAATTACAGCACATTTTTAAATAATTCTTTTTTAATAATTAGCCCTACATTTACGTCACGCTTTAGGCAATTTATTTTTACGCCATTAAACTCAGGGGGCAAATATTTTGGAAAAAAAACCCAATGTGGGAAAGAGACCATAAGTTGCTGCCAACATCAAGGAAGCAAGATTGTCAAGGTTTGTCATGTCATGTCATTTTAACATCTGCTATTGATGATTTGACAAACCTAAACAGTAATATTAAATTTTCATAACTTCATGCGGATGATGCCGCACGGGAACAGCTAGTTTATTTATTAATAGAGGAACTCTCAAGTCATTTGCAAAGATTATCTGCATTGAATTTAGAAAAAAGGTATCATAATGTTTAAATTTAATTACATTCGCAAATATAATTTCAAATTAACTGTATCATCGACTCTGTTTGTTGTATATAATTAACTGTTATTTTAATGAAATATAATTGAAATCTGAAAATATTCGTATTCAATATTTTAAATCAACGAAATATCCAGTCATAATTATACTTCGTTATTTTCATGAGGTTTATTTATAGAAATTTATCCACAGAGTAAATAGTAATTTAATATTTTTTGTTATATAAAATCGTTTGTTTATTTATTAAAATTACTTCATCAGATAACGTTTTAAATTTATTACAGAATTCTAATTGCATTTTGATTGCATGATGAAATGTTGAAAACTGTATTCCTTCGTAAAACAGAACCTATTATGATTAAATTAGGTTTTTTCATATATCAGAAACGGTAAAATTTATAAAGGCTTACTATTTCTAATCAAATATTGAAAACGAGAATCCTGTCCCATCCAAGAATCTTCGGCACTTTTACTAACGCTACAAAGACAACAATACATTCAAAAGTAACTGCTAACTAGTATAACAAAACATTTGTTACACTAGTTATCAGAAATTAGAGACGAAACCAACACCTTACTTAACTCTTATATTTAAGTCAAGAACTATCAATACCGAGAAAAAATATAAATCCAGAATTACTTCAAAGTAAACCATAAACTATAATTTATCCGACTTAGATAGGACCAAGTTGTTTACCTACACAAACATTATCTTTAAAAACGTAAAAAAAAGACAAATCCTGAAATAAAAAAATAGCCCTAAAATACATCCACCTAAAAAAAAACAGTTACCAAAATTGACATAACCTAAAAATTGTATAAATATATGGACTTACCTTGGCCCCAGTTCTATTCCACACGAGCACCTTGTGGCCAGAGTTGAGTAGGTTCTTCACAATGCCACTTCCCATGATGCCCAGCCCCAGGAAACCGAACTTCATCTGGCTGGCCTTGATGTTCTTCTCCAGCAGGGTTTCTGATACGTTCTCCAGGTCTAGAGGTGGAGTGTCCTGGAATATAGGTAGTAGTTAGGACCTGACCTGATAAGCTTAGCACACACTGAATTCCTGATCTAGGATCTAATTCTATCACAGTTAGCTACCGTCGGGAAAATTTTTGTTTCAGAGAACGAGGGATTTGACAACCGCCACCTGCTAATCTCCAGTGACCGGATGACATCCACAATTTAACAAAAGGTTTATTCGACAGAAGTTACAAACTACACATAGAAGACTAACCTACACAAAGACTATTGCTCAAAGTTTTTTTATATATATGTAAAATGTTATAACAAACCAATTCATCTATATCTATACTATTATAATAAAGCGTAAACCCACACTTCTTTGTTGCATAAGATGTTAGCAATTACAGAATATTTTTGAATAATTCTTTTTAATAAAAAGCACTACACTTACGTCACGCTTTAGGCTATTTATTTATTAAACTACTAACTATTTATTAAACTTAGGAGGTAAATATTTTGGATAAAAACCCTAATGTGAGAAAGAGACAATAAGTTGTTGCCAACATCAAGGAAACCAGATTGCTAAGGTTTGTCCTGTCAGTTTGACATTTGCTATTGATAATTTGACAAATGTGAATAAAATAAAATTTTCATAATGTACTAGGAACAGCTAGTAAATAAAATAAATCTCTACTATTAAAACCTTATTTAACTATACAATCCCTAAAAATAATTTAATTTTAAAGTATAAACTAATCATATGAGCTACTAAACCACTAAAATTTAGTTCTAGAAATGAAAGGCCAAGAAGGCAGATACTGAATGAAAGAAAACCTGATGCGCCAACTCTTGAAGAGTATACTTACCGGTCTCAGTATATTAGAAGGCCGGTGCAGCAAGCTGGACTTCTTGCTGAAGGAGTGGTTCAGCATCGAGGGTTTCTCATTAGCGAGGTCTGTGTCTGTGAAGGAGCGAGCGACGCGACGCACCTTCTTGCGCGCCACGCCCTTCAGGCTGGCGGATGACGACCGTTTGGCAGACTTCACCTTTGAAATTCCCAAACGTATCTATAAATGTTGAGAATGTTTATTACTACTGCTACAAGTGAAGGTGTTTCTGCCATGCAAAATACTTATTCCATCCAGTAAAGTTATCTGCAACACTTAAGTGGTCACTTAGTGCAGGTGTAAGTTTGTGAGAATTATGTGCATTTTTTCAAATTTAAACCACATCTTAATAATTATGGAGGAAATATTTCACTACCAAAATGGAACAAACAACACAGAATCGAACCCAAGATGATATTTTTCTTTGCAAATAGGTACTTTAACTAAGCCACTGCAATTTTTCACTAACAAAAATGACGGCAAAAAAAAATTGTGAGAAAGTTTGACAAATTAAATTTCGATTATCATGCATGAAGTGAACTAGTAACATTCTATTTCAAACTCTATTACCTTCGGCGTAGAGCTCTTTTTCTTCACCTCGGGAGATTGCTCCACTTCAGATTTCTCTTGAGAGCTGTCCTCGTTCATCTCATCCTTGAGTTTGTCAAACTCTTCCTCAGGGTTCCTTGCGTGCTCATCAATGTCGCCGAATTTCTAATCCACGAACGAACAAATCAAAACATATAAATAACCGTAGGTTTCCATTTTGGAAGCATTTTTAGAAACATATTGTCTCTATCTTATTATAGAGAAAAAATTAACGATTGTATAAAAATACAATCTTGAGTAGTTAACATTAATATTTATTTATTTAAAAAAATCCTCCTAATAAATGACACTAAAATTTAAATCTGGCAAAAGAAAAAAATTAAGATTCGATTGAGGTCAACAAGTGAGTTTTTAAAACAATGCACGCCAAGTATACTATTACTGGGGTATATTCATTAATAGGTCACTAAGAGAAACTTTCCCAAATCAAATCCACCCTAAGGGAGACCTTGTAACTCTCGAGTCAGAACACTAACCTCGGGATTGACGATGAACTCCTCGATCTGATTAACAGCTTCCTTGAATGCTGTCGTCTTGCTGGACTTGATCAGCTGCTCCTTGTGCTCGTGGTATGGTTTTATGTTGTGTTCTTCTATCCACGCGCTACACAAACATACTACATCTAACATTTGTTTAAACAATGCCGAAATACTATTTTTTTAGTATATGGTGACAAACGAACAAGCGGAGACTGGAATTTTGGCGTCAAAACAACCGCTTCCCAGATATCCGTACTTATAAATCTTCATCCCCGAGAAATGTCCGGTTCCCGAGGGATACGTAGCTTTTTGTAATTTATATAGTTCTTATGTTTTCTAATACCACGCGGGCAAAGTCGCGGGCAACAGCTCGTATGATATAAATAGAAAAGATTTTTAATTATTGTAATGCAAAATTCCTTCACCTTTAGAAAGGTAATTTATCTGTGAGTGACATAGGCTATGTTGTTTATTATTTTTTTAATTTCATGTGGGCGAAGTTGAGAGTAACAGCTAGTTAAACATATTAATGCAATTACCGATATAAGAAATCTTAATTCTGTTCACAAAATTAATATTTTCGTAGAAATTATTAGTAGTGTTGAAGTTTCCAAATACCTTGGCAACTTTGAACTTCGTGCGAATTACTACAAAGAACGCAATTTAACTCTTCGGGGACGTAAAGGGATTAGTTTTATAAAGAAATAATTGATATCCTTTTTGTTCTCATTAAACTGATATCACTATATGTTTATGCATACCAGGCATAAATCTATACTAATACTAGCTTTCGCCCGCAACTACTTCCGCGTGGAATTAGAAAAAACAAAAGTAAGTATGTGTTCTTCCAGAATATCCTCTACATCCATACCAAATTTCATAGAAATCCGTTCAGCCGTTTAGGCTACAAACTCCAACAAACATCCATCCATTCATCTAAACTTTCACATTTATATTATTAGTATCAAGTTTGATCCTTAATAGGAAAGATTGGATTTTTTGTATGTATTTGATTCACAAAAAAAAATTGCTGGGCCGTTTTTAAGTATTCTTACACCATAACAAAGATAATTTATCTGTTAGTAGCAAAGTGTACCTTCATTTTTATTCTTTAATTTCACGCGGACGAAGTCGCGAGCAACAGCTAGTAAATGACAATGTTTTGAGATTTTAACATTTTTGATTATATTAAAACAAAGCAAATTACTAATTATCTTAAACAACTCTCATCGGTGCTACCCGTTAGCGACAAGCCGTGCGCTCATCAAAGGAGCGAGCGAGACAGATATGTTTGCGATACATCCGTCTCGCTTCAACAGTGGTCGCGATGAACGCGCGAAAGGGGCCTAATAAGCGATTCATTTATTGCACAGGTTAGAAAAAATTTAACTAAAGTGGTGATTTTAAATGTTTTTAAGCAATGTATACACTTACATACTGACTTATTTTATGTTATGACGTACTAGCTTTTGCTCGAGACTCTGACCGCGTGGAATAAAAAAAAATAGAAGTGAGTAAACAATGTGTTCAACTATCCTCTATATCTATGGTATACTAAAATTCATCTAAATCCGTTCAGCAGTTTAGGCTACAGACTCTAACAAACATCCATCCATCTAAACTTTCGCATTTATATAATACTAGCTTTCGCCCGCGACTCCGTCCGCGTGAAATTAAAAAATAATATAAAACATAGCCTTACTGACAACATAGCTTTTGAATGGTAAAGAATTTTTCAAATCGGTCCTGAAGTTTTTGAGTTATTTCATTACAATCAAAGAAAGTTTTCCTCTTTATTTTATTTATAGATTAGTATGAAGTATAATTTCTATTATTTTCAGGTTTAATTTTACAAATCCTATAAAAAATCATAAGAAATTTAATCACAACTTTGTTTATTGCTACATTATAGTGAGTTCCATTAATTATCTCTCAAAACAACAGCATATTTATGTATATGCCAACAAAAGTATTATGGTAACTTCAGCCTGCTACCGTTTACTTTAACTGATCAAAGTATACATTCAAAACTAACATATGTACATTAAGTCTGAGTCTGAGTGTTTTTATTTGTGTTTTTCTATACTTATCCCTAGATTTAGATTAATTCTGGCCCAATCTGCTAAGGGAGTGCCATAGACAAGAAACTGAATTGAACTGATTTGGATTAAGTTTTCTAGTTATGACCGAATTCATTAAGTACATGTTTTTCTTCTTCTGTTCTGTAAAACTCTGTGTTCTGTTTTAAGATTCATTGAAAACCGGCGCTTCGGTGTACACCGCAGCATGCTGAATATATTCCCTTTTTTTTAATAAACGAAATTCTTTCTTTCTTACAGAAGTTTGAGAACTGTACATATTTAATACAGTAGTATAATTTCCAGTTAATATTTTCCCCACACTTGTAACTGTACAGTTGGTCTGATCAACTTAAAGTGTTTATGTTTATTTTTAAAGACTTTTATTCCCAAAAAGACATGTACAGTCACTTACATGAGAATTTACATTTATAATATATTGTTTGTCGCAATATTCATTTTATATAAATTTTGCACAATTTTCAATGTGTGTTGGCTTCATGTAAAAACATGACAAAAACCTTTGACCAGAGACTATATTGTGTGTAGATAGGGTTTAGATAATAGAAGTAAGCATATCTTTGGGACATCCAATTTGTATATTGTTCCATCAGTCATTGTTGTATTTTTATTTTACAATTTTACAAGCAATGTTAATTTAAAAAGTTGACATTTTTTTTACAATAAAGGTTGGCAAATAGGCAACCATATTATTTGCTAATAATAAATAAGGGGCCATTTCTGTTCATCATTAGTACATTACGGGAAAAATTCATCTTCCAAGTTCTCCCATAAAGTAGGCTCCTTTTCTTTATAAGAGTGGGTGAGAAATAAGAACAGGAAATCCGTGTACAGTGCCAGTGGTAAAACTTATCAACAAAAACACTACTTGATTTCAGGCTTTTTTACTTTGATGTATGTCATTTAGATGTGTGTAAATCAACTCTGCAACACTTTTATTATAATTATATATTGTAGTGTTTGACAAATTTGTGGCTCACAGCTTACTGAAATGTATTATAAGTATAAGAGTGAACTGTTTGATGATTTGTAGCACATGGGAACCATACCTTTATGAAGGTACAAATTGAAATCTGCTACACTTATGTAAACCGTGAGCTGATTGTGACCTTCATTTTAGTTAATTTAAAGCCTGTCCTACCACTGGCTGATGCCATCCTCTATCGAGAGGATCAGATATCTTAATAATGATGACACTGTTAGATAAGGGAACAGAATCCGATATTTCCAACATTTTTATACTCTGTATTGTTATCATATAATTCACAATTTGGCGGGACAGACCCTTACTCCGGTAGTATTAGTGAAGTTAGGTTTCACAAAAGATACAGGCCCACTGATAAGGTGGTAGTGGTAATTTAAATAGATATAGTATTACTTACTAATTATTAGTTCCAAAGAAATAAATGCACTGAACATTGGTCGCCTTTTTTGGTAGCTTCAGCTCCGGAGTTGGGATGGCTACCTGAAAACCATCGTAAGAATATATTAGTACTATTATGATACATATTTACTCTTGTTATTATAAAATGTATTGGAGGTTAGAAAAAGTGAAAAACAAATCCGCAAAGTTCATACTTTTATCGCCTTAATTTTATGACTGAAACCTCTGAAGTGGTGAAATAAATCAAAATAGAATGCAACACCCATAATAAATACAACAAGCGTCCCCTTTCTACGTAGTCAAAATTTTCCCGCTAATAAGATGTTAATGTAAATAAATATGATAACAAATTTACAGACACGGGAATATGTTGAATTATGGATTAAATCGCTTATGGATGTTTTTTGCACCAATTTAAAGGTTTGTTTTTTGATTAGAAATTGAAATTCAGCAACTTACCCGGCCTGGCCAAGGACTGAATCCCTTCATTTTAGCCCTGAAACAAAGATGATAGCAATTATACTATTGTGCATTAATAAAGATGGATAACTATCTACATTTCCTATATATTTTAAGTACATACCAAACTAAATCACCAAGTTTATAAACTTCACTCATGATGTATACGTCCGCTTCCTTTAACTTTCCACGACGAACTAAACCAGAGAGCAAAGTTGTGAAGAAAACACTAACTTTAGCGCGTCGTCTCAAACTCTGTGGTCATAGGGAGTACAAAAAATCTTAATATCCGTTTATTCCGGTTTTTTAATAATATATGACTAAAAATTTATAAAACTTTTCTTTAGTTTTTTTTTTTATAAGAGAAGGGGGCAAACGAGCGGCGGGAACACAAAGGTGGTCAACGACGCCCATGGACATCCGCAACACCAGAGGAACTACAGATGCGTTGCCGGCCTTTGAGGAAATTGTAGGCTAGCTTCTTGAAGGACCCTAAGTCGTATTGGTTTGGAAATACTGCCGAGGACAGACCGTTCCACAACGCGGCTGTGCGGGGCAGAAAGTTCCGCGAAAACCGCACGGTTGTGGAATGCCAGCCATCAACATGGTGAGGATGGTACCTGGCGGTCTGTCGTGTCGTCCGATGACGAAACTCGGCGGCAGGAATCGTTCCAAACAACTCCTCGAAACACTCCCCGTGGTAAATACGGTAAAAAATGCAGAGGGAACTGACGTCCCTCCGCAAGGCCAGAGGATCTAGCCGATCGGTAAGAGCTCGGTCATTGACGATTCGAGTCGCTCTCCGTTGTATGCGGTCAAATGGAAGAAGCTGGCATTGGGGTGCTCCCGCCCAGAGGTGCGAGCAGTAAGTTTTAAACTTTTGTCTTCTAACTGATGCGACGAAACGGAGGGAACATTAATTTTATACCATCGTCCCCTATCACTATCATCATCATTATCTGCCCACTGCCACTGCCATTATATTCTATGGGTAGATGAATTAAATCTATGTTACTCGAAAATATTTTATGCCAACTAGCTTTTTCGTGCAACTCCATGCAAACGGAATTTAAAAACTTGACAAATAGCTTGTCAAGTTTATACAATATTCTTCTTGACTATCTGTACATGTATCCCAATCGAGATCCGTTGAACCATTCTAGTGAAGCCATCTAACAAAATCCATTCTTTCATATACACTTTCACGTTTGTAATATTAAATAATAAGAGTAAGAAGTTAAATTTTGATAAATTAACAATATCGTTAAAATTTGTCCAAACTCAGTCTTAAATGGTATATGTTGATGGTGAGGTCAAAATTTTCTAACTGGCTCGTTTCACTTCGCTTCAACATCGTATACATTATTTTGTCTAAAATGTAATAATTTTATAATTCAACCGTTTAAATTGTGCTTTTCCTTTTCAGAAAAAAACAGCATATCTAGTATTTCTGTCTTTGCTATTAGGCATCAAAAATATATCGGTTTAAATAGCAGAAACACCGTAAACAATGGACTGTAATGACTGTAATAGCCATCACTACTCGACGACTATTTTGACGTGAATAATTTATTTGTAAAATACTTAAATGTCTATTTTAGGAAAAACATTTAAAAATCATCTACATCTTGTTAGTTTATCTAAATTTATTTAATAAAATCTTTTAATATTTTCTCCAAAATTATAATCTGTGTTTAAATCTGGCACTAAGTGTTTATATACTCTACTGTTTCAGTGTCAACTGTCAATTATTTTTCGGATTATGTTTCTGTTGTTTTTGTTTTGTTACTTGATATGAAATATTTAAGCGCGAAAATATTGTTAATTAAATGTATTTTTAAAATACGTCGAGAACATGTCTAAACGCGTATATTACCCACAACAACAAGGTGAAAGAAAAAGGGCAAAATTAGATATTACAGGAGGCGATAATCACTTAGCTCTGAGTCAAAATAATGATAGGAATAAAGGTATTTCCATTTATAATTATAACTATTAAATTTCCTTTTAACAAATTTGCGACTCTTAAAGAACTCAAAAAAAGTACCATAAAATTTTATAGGTTATAAAACTAAATGTTGATTATAATAACTAATTTCAGACGAAAATCAAGATAATTGGGGAGATGAGGTCGACGACGAAATACTGCTACTTGCTAGCCAGGCATGTGAACAGGCATACACAAATGTAGACTGCAGTTTACCAGATTACAGCATGTGTATGAAACCAACATCAACAAGTACCCAAAACTTCGACCCTGGGCCAAGCACATCATTTAACCCAGACCCATTTAAGAAACCACATACTTATAACTTCACATCACAAAGTATTAAAAACAAATGCAATTTTATTTCATCACCATTACCGAATATTTCAAAAACTTTACAAAACACCAACCAGAATGTCACCGAAGATGTCATATTCAATGATAAAGTTCACAAAGGTGACACAGACTTTGTCTATAAACAATTACTACAATTAAAAGAAGAAAATTCTAAACTCAAATCTGAGAATGGGAAATTACTAGAGAAATGTGTAACCAAAGAAGGTGAGGTATCAATTCTTCGGACTCATTTAAAAACAAGTCAAGTGGCGGCAGACAATGCTCGATTGGAAAAGATTAGAGTACAAGAAAGAGTGCAAATGGAGTGGACAGACAAATTAGCAGCAGCCAATAATCAATTACAAGATCTGAGAACGCAGTTAGACTTTAAGGTAAGAACATAATTCTTTATAAGAACATTCAAACCTAGATAAGCGAGAATCCTCTATAAATGAGAGTCATTATCCAGCTCTTATTTCGAAAAATGCTGGTCTTTTGGACTCTTAGTTATATAAGTAAAGTGAACACCAGCTACATGCAATTCCATTAAAACCTTTCGGAAATTTCAGTTATTATTTACCTTTTTGTTTCAGAATCTCGAAATTACAAGTATTAAAGAGAAATGCAAGATGTTAGAATCATCCAAAGTCAGATTAACTCAAGTGAATATTCCCAAGCATGATATATCATTGAGGTGAGATATACATAAAAAACCAAACAATAACAAGATAACATAAAGGTTTACTTGCTTTATGTACATTTAGTAAGGCAAATTAATGTAGCTAAAAAAAAATATTGTTATTGGTTAAGGTGGCAAACTAGCATTTTGCCACCTGATTTCTACTAAATAGTGAATGGCCATAGACATCCACAATTGTGGATGTGTTGCCTACCCTTAATTGACGGAGGGGACATACAAAATGAGGATATTTCCCCTTCCTATATCTCCTCTAGTCAAATCCTCTTTCCCTTCCCCTCCTTACCTTAAAAAAAAGGATGGGAAGGTATAAGGATTACAATTAACCTTTAAATGCATATTGTTGCCAAAAGTCTACAAACAAAAGTATATATTTTTATTGAAAACAAGATTTTTTTCCCTTAATCCGTGACTCAAAACCTATACTGAAATATTTATTTCATAATTAAATAAAAAATCATGCATTTAAGGGTTAAGTCTTCAGTAACGGTTTATAATGGTCTAATATTATTTTTCTGTTAATATTTCCAGTTATAGAAACAATAGTATGCATGGTATGAGAGATTTAATATCTTCAACACAACAAGCAAGAGTTAAAACTACTTGTAAAAATGTACAAACAGAATTTGGAACATTATCTAATATTGTAGAACTCAATATTGCATATAGACAGGGTGAGTAATCCCATTATTATAGTCTGACCAAGAATTTATAACTAAAAACATGATAATCTTATGTTTTTTTATGGTCGCGATGTTTTCTCTTCTCAAATGTTTACTCTGCTTAAACACTTAGTTGGTTTTTTTATTTCTTAAGTTAGATTTAGAATACATATTATAGCTAGTAGTAGTAGGGGCTACGGTTTCCGCAACTCCATGATTAGCGCGTATTTTACACATATAACTAGTGGGCGATTCAAGTGTGTACATTACATTACATTCTATCCGCAAAGGAATTAGTTTCATATTTCTTGGGAGATTTTTGTTACTTATTTATTACATTATAAAGAAATCAAAAAATAACTTTAAAGTCTTATAAATTGTCAAAATTTCCGTAAACATAATAACCTTGATTCTTTAATGTTGGCAGCAACTTATGGTCTCTTTCCCACATTAGGGTTTTTATTCAAAATATTTACCCCCTAAGTTTAATGGCGTGAAAATATATAGCCTAAAGTGTGACGTAAGAGTAGGGCTTTTTATTAAAAAATAAGTTATTTAAAAATATGCCATGATTGCTGAAATCTTAGGCAACAGAGAAGTGTGTGTTTACGCTTTATTATAATAGTATAGATAACATTATAAAGAAGATACAAAATAACTTTAAAGTCTTATAAATAAGGTAATTTTGTTTATTTCAGATCGAAAGAAGTTAATTCAACTATTACCTTTAACAGTAGAATCAACAACGAAACAATATTCTCTATTAGAATATAATGAAAAGTTACAAAAACCATCAGATATTTTACATAGTAGATGTAAAGTGTTTAGCACATTTCATAGGATACCTAACACTCCAAGCGCTAGGCCTGAAATCAGATGTAAAGTTACACTAAATGATATTTATCAAGATCTGGCTTTTATTGCTGCTGATGGAATGGAAATAGAACAGAAAGTACTCAATGTAAGTCTTTTAAATTTACCATTTATTTATTTGTACAGTACAACCTCGATAACTTCAAAAAATAATATGTTCCCTTCCCATCAGAGCCCAAAACCTTTACAACATAGACCCTTGATAACTTAAAACCTCTATAACTTAAAATATTTTGTTTCCCTTGGACTTTAACTTATTGAGGTTCAATTTACTAATGTATTCAAATTTTCCTTTCTATCATTTGTTTATAAGCTAGGGATGGACAGGAAGGGGAAATATCTTTCTATGCTTACTCTCTTTTAATAAGAGGTAGGAAGTATTTCTGCTTATGCGAATCATGTGTCTATAGTGAACTATTTTGGTGAATTCAGGTAATTGCTTGCCTATAGTATATTAACAGTGGTAGTGCCCGCTTTAACATCTTAGCAGTACAGGGCCGGCAAGCCCCCAGTAATACCACGACCACACAGAAGACAGCCGTCAAATGGAAGCAATTCCGTGTTTTGTCTGATGAGTGTGGTGCCGGAGGCCTAATTTAAGTCCCTTTCTCTTTACTACCCTTTTCTTATCAGGAGAGTATGGGAAGGGGAAGTGGATTTGACGGTGGAGGAGATGCATAGGAAGGGGAAATATCCTGTTTATGTGCGTCTCCTCCTCCGTCGGATAAGGGTAGGCAGCGCATCTGCAATTGCAAATGTCTATGGGCAGCGGTCGCTTCGCCATTTTATCGGATTCAGGTGGCCGCTTGCTCGTTTTCCACCTTATGTTATAAAAAAAAAAAAATTTTTTTCAAGATTATCCAAGCGGCTAAAATAATTTTACAAGATGTAGAGCAGACATTAAATATGTTAGAGTTAAGAATGACAACGGCTTTCCTGAAGGAAATTGACGAGAAATATATTGACGCTAGCGCAAGCTTGCTGATTGTCACTGATGAAGATTTGATCTCCGGAAAGTATGTTGTAAGAATATAAACTTTATTACAATTAAAGATATACTAATATGTTAAGAGTGCTTAATAATTCTGATATTATAAACAGAAAAGATTTGTATATAATTAATAAAAAACTAGATGACTGATTTCAAAAATTCTTGCACCATTAAATGCCATATTATCTATGGTTTCTTAATCTTTTAGTGCAATTTGCTTACAATTTAAAAAATGTAAAAGAAGTAAAAACGATCTTTTTACACATATTTTGGGGTTATGGAGTGTGTAAAAATTCTTTTTCTATTAGATCGCTGTACAGAGAAGAGCAGGCTCTCACAGCAAGAAGAATCATATCAGTTCTGTATCATGTTCTAGAAGATTCTAGAGCTATGGAAATATTTAGCAGATGTGAAGTTTCTATTCATCAAGGAAATTTGCTGGAAATTATACAACGGATATGCATTTTGTTAGATAAAACTGTAAGTATTTTTTAAGCTTATATTTTTTTAATCTGTCTGATGAAGAAAGAGTGTATTTTTAACACATATCTAAGTATGTTCTTAATTTATAGTTATTTATTTTTTATTTTTATTTACGTTTTCGAGTATATTCTAAATTAAAAAAAAAATGTTAAATAACAGTTTGTTTAGTTAGAATTTAAGAATTTAAAATGTTTGTTTTGAACACCACCAAAAGATGGCGCTAATCATTTATTATAACCTAAGTATGTTTTTTGTTTTTTATTGTTTTTTTTTTACTTTTCCAGTCCTGTGCAGTATTATTTAGTGGTTTCTTACTAGCGGTGATACAACTTTTGTATAGAATTTTAATAAATTCAAATAAGAATTCAACAAATGAGATCTTTAAAGTTATAAAAACGATAATACAATCCAGACCGATGTTGTTCGTGACTTGTGAAACCTTACGACTGCTACGAAAAGTGGCGTCGACAGAATCAACTGAAATTATTTTCTGTAAAGGCAGCGGTAGTGGGAATTTAAAATTGGATTATGATCAAGGTGTGCTTTTGTATAAGAAAGGTAAGAATAAAAAAAACACACACAAAATTGTGATTTCTTAATTTTTTTTCTTCTGAACATAGTAAAAATCAGCTTAATTTTATGTACAAATACGGTAATTTTACTGAAAGCAATTTAATCAACACTAGGTGTTGCTCGCGACTTGGTCCACGTGAAATTTAAAATTACAAGGTAGCTTTTTAATAGTGAAATAATTTTTGAAATCAGTCCAGTAGTTTTAGTTATTTCAATATATACAAAAATACAAATCTTTTCTCTTTATAATATTAGTACAGATATATTATTTTCTTTAAAGGGTTATTCATTTTTATCCAAGCTTAAATTTATTTCCAGACTCATGTTTACTTCAAGTGTTATTAAAACAAATCGAAGCCTCACTCAAATGTATTGAAAAGCAGAAATTAAGAGAACAAGCCGCCTCCCTCTGCGGAGACCTCCTTCTCTTCTATTCTGATCTGAATATGCTGCATGATAGTGAAGAGAAACAAAGGTATTATAAATTACGTGCTATTATAAACAATGTATGTAATATAAACAATATTTTTAACTAGTTGTTGTTAGCGACTTTCCACGTAAAAAGAAGAAAATAGCCTATGTTATTCAGTTATAATGTAGATTTCTAATTTTTGATATCAAACCAGTAATTTTTGAGTTATTTCAATACATACAAAGATAAAAAGTTATAATTATTTTACAGTAGAAGCTCGATAAGTTAAAGTCCAAGGGAAACAAAATATTTTAAGTGATAGAGGTTTTAAGTTATCAAGGGTCTATGTTGTAGAGGTTTTGGGCTCTGATGGGAAGGGAATATATTATTTTTTGAAATTATAGAGATTTTTAAGTTACTGAGGTTCTGCTGTATTTTAAATTTCTCGCGGATGGAATCGCGTGTAACAACTAGTTTTGCTATAAAAGCATAATTTAAATTTATTTGATATTGTGTTATGTTTTACTTTGAAATAACAGTTGCGAGTGTCGACAAACTTTCTTGCAAGTGATTGTATTTGCTTTGAGAACATGCGCCGATATCATCATTGGAGATAAATCTGGTCAGTATTTCTATAGTACTTAGCTTTCTAGTTAGTAAACCTAATTTAAGTCCCTTTCTTTACCACCCTTTTCTTATGAGAGGATGGGAAGGGGAAGTGGATTTGACGGTGGAGGAGATGCATAGGAAGGGGCATTATCCTCTTTATGTGCGTCTCCTCCTCCGTCGGATAAGGGTAGGCAGCGCATCTGCAATTGCGGATGTCTATGAGCCGCGGTCGCTTCATCATTTTGGCGGATTTAGGTGGTCGCTTGCTCGTTTGCTATATTGTTATAAAAAAAAAAATTACAACCACACACTGTATTAATATTTTTATTAAGTTAGCGGAAATTTTTACCATTCCGGCTCGAAGGACCATATTTTTAAATCAAAATGCAATGGATACAATCTTTCATGTTTACTGCGCATTTACGGTTCTTTATGATTTTCCGTTTTCTCGATTTGATCGAAAAGTCAAAAATGTATAGAACTGACAGTAATATCTGATAAGTCACGTATTCATTTCTATATAAATTGATACATTTTATCGATTCTACAAGCAACATCGATGGAAAGACATTTTGTCTAAAAGGGCAGGTAGATGGCGGAATTCGAACTAAGGAGCTATAGATTACAAGACAAGTAACCCTTGAGCCACAGATTTAAGACAGGCGTTTAAATCAGACGTGAAGTGGGAGCAATTCCTCGTTTCCTCTGATGAGTGTGGTATGGACCAACTTTAGTCACTTTCCCTTCCTAAGCTTCTCGTAAGAATAAGATGGGAAGGGAACGTGGATTTGACGATGGATATGCATAGGAAGGGAAAATATTTTCATGCGTTACCGCTATTGCGAATGACTATGGGCATTTTCGCCACTTTGGCGGATTCAGGTCGCTTGCTCGTTTGCCTCATGAGATGAAAAAACCTTTACGGTAGTTGTGTGTGTTTGCAGCGAGTGATGACAGGTTAATGTCGGTGTGCCGCGCGGGGCTGCGCGCGGTGCAGCGCGGCGCCGCACACGTGTGTCACATGGCGCACGGCGAGGGCCATCTGCTGCACTACTGCCACCTCATGATGACACCCCCGCTGCACCCGCACCAAGAACTGCACTGTGAGTATGACACAGCGCAGAATGCCACTGGAGTGGTTGAATCGGTTGGAAGTAAGACTAGCTTTCGCCCGCGATTCCGTCCGCGTGAAATTAAAAAAGTAAACTGCCTATGTGTTCTTTCAGAGTATCCTCTACATCGGTGCCAAATTTCATCGGAATCGGTTTAGTAGTTTAAGCTACAAACTCTAACAAACATCCATCCATCTAAACTTTCGCATTTATAATATTAGTAAAATAGAATGTATCAATCTTACAATTTAAGATTTTTAATTGTTATAAAAGGTTGCCTTTATAATTCACACTAAAAAACCTTTAGTTCTTTACTTAATCTATTAAATTTTGAGATACAGGGTGTTCAAAATAAACGTTTTTATAGAGATTTATTTTATTTCGCTTTTTTAAATCAAAATGTAAGACAGTTAAATTTTATATGGTTATTACCTAAGATAATGTATTTAACTTTCCCCCAATCGAATACAGTAGTTATAAAATGGTGTATTTTATAGCGAACATGGTGTCTGATGTGATGTCGACACTTCAGAGCAGCCCCGAGGAGTCCCCTCCCTCGTACCACACGCAGCCCTGGATTAACAGCTTCCATAATTTCTCACTCGCTGACTGATACCTTCACGACACTAAAAGCGCGCACATCTTTGACTAAACTATCGCACGACTGTTGTGTGACTGTCGCAGACAATTCTGTTTATTTGCACAACTAAAAATCGAGTAGTGTGCCATAATTTCATAGGAATCAAAGCGAGACAAAACAGTTGTGCGATAGTTTACTCAAAGCTGTGCGCACTAAATGCTATCTTAAACCCCTGTTCCACCAGCCGACTGTCTGCGTCTGCGAAAAAGGGTCTTATTTTAAGCGAAAATTAATTAAAAACGGCTCAACTCACGCTTTTTTTTTTTTTTTTTCTCCGGTGACGGCACCGACTAGTTTCGGATCCTTCGGGGATCCTTCTTCAGGGCGAGTATTATTTAAATTTTAATAACAACAATAGCGACACTTCAACATTTTTGAACCCGTCGACATCTCCGTCGCCGAAGCACGAAGCGGCCACAACGCTCTTGGCGCCCCCCGCCCCCTCCGCGCCCCCCGCCCTGGCCCGCAGTGCGAGGCGCGACGCGACCGCGAACAAAAGTTAAATAATACTCGCCCTGAAGAAGGATCCCCGAAGGATCCGAAACTAGTCGGTGCCGTCACCGGAGGAAAAAAGCGTGAGTTGAGCCGTTTTTAATTAATTTTCGCTTAAAGTAATGTCTCACGATAGTTTAAACAATTTAAGGGTCTTATTGATAAAAGTGTAATATAAAATTCAATTGAAATGAATTATTTCATTCACACATTTCACTGGATGTCATATTGTCTATGGATTTTTAAATGTTTTAATTAATCCAAATAAGTCTGTATTTCCAGCCTTTTAAAGGTAACAGTGGTAGTGAACGCTTTAACATGTTAGCAATGCAGGGCCGGCACGCCCCCAGTAATACCACCACCACACAGAAAACATGCGTGAAATGGAAGCTATTCCGTGTTTCGTCTGATGAGTGTGGTGTCGAAGGCCTAATTTAAATCCCTTTCTCTTTACCACCCTTTTCTTATAAGAGAATGGGAAGGGGAAGTGGATTTGACGATGGAGGAGATGCATAGGAAGAGGAAATATCCTCTTTATATGCGTCTCCTCCTCCGTCGGATAAGGGTAGGCGACGCAGCTGCAATTGCAGATGTCTATGGGCAGCGGTCGCCTCTCCATTTTGGCGGATTTAGGTGGCCGCTTGCTCGTTTGGCCATCTTATGTTATAAAAAAAAAAAGGTAAAATTGTTTAGATGTGTATAATTTTTCAGCTTATTTGAATTCTATAATTAATATTGGCAATTTGGTTATAAGTTTTGTCCTAACAAATTGTAAATTGTCTGAAACAATCCAATGTATAAATATGTGATGGAAATATCGGAATTTGTTACCTATATGACGTCATTTTTAAGCTATCTGAGCCATCAGTCAGTGGACAGGCCCTTAATTTTATTTATTTTTTACCAATTCAAAATGTCTTTGAATTCGAGGCATCTCGATTTAATTTTTTTTTCTCATAGAGAAAAAAACTTTAAGTTATTGCATTCCAGCATGTTAAGTTTTATAATATTGAGCTTTATTATTAAAATTGTAAGCAAAAATCTTAACAATATAAATATATTTTTAACTCAAGAATAAACTTTGTAAATAGACGAAGATGATAAGACAAGTCCTAGTAAAATTTTAACTATCTGTGTATAAAGTTTTATTAAATATTTGTTTTATTTACAATGTGTCATTTTATTTTCCCCTTAAATGCATGATTTCATTCTTTTTAAATACCATAAATTGATATGGGGAATATGTTCAACACTATTAACCCTTATATTGACAAAATTTTATTTTTTCGAATATCAAAATAATATTCATAACACTTAACCTTGATGACCCGAAGTGTTTAGAAAAAAAAAATGATGTATCTCTACAGATACACTAACAAGAAAAGGGTTAAGGGATAAATAAAGTAAAAGATGGTTTTTCAAAGTCTACAGTGTAAGGAAAAAAAGATGTATGAATACATCACCATGCATTTAAGGGTTAACCTTTGTAGAATATATTATAATACTTATAAAAATCAAAAGTGTATGGATGGATGTTGATGGATATTGTTGATAACGGTGTAAGAAAACACATTTGAAATTGTACTATAGTTGTTTACTACACTTATAGAAAGATATTTAATACATGGTAGTTTAAATATAACAAAGTAATCATTAAAAATATTAATAAGACAATATTCAAAGTCAACTTGTAACATGGCCGAACTTTTATACACAAAAATAAACGAATTTCAATACTTCAATATGGAATGATAAACATTAAGTAAAAAAACTAAATTTAATTTCAATCCAACTTTAAAATTAAATGGAGAAACATCAAATTCCATACATATTTCAAATTCTTATTTCATACACATTTTGATATAAAGAGATATATAATCAAATATTGTATTACATGAGAAAAAGTGGTTTATGTTTATCCAAAACCAGTTTTAACAACAAATGTGCATTCATATCTATAAAAATTTAATTTGGATCGAAATAAAATCTTAAACTTAAACCTTAACAGTGGTACTGACCACCTTAATTGGTACATCTGCATCTGGTACATGGAAGAAATACAACATAAAACCAGTCGCTAAAAGAAAATGGAACGCTAAGATTGAACCGATCAGTATTAGGAAGTACTTTGACTTCCTCAGCGCTGGCAGCAGCCAGAAGATCAGCACTGCACCGGAGACAAACGCTGCCATCAGAACGAACAGCCACTGCAGCCAGGATACCTGGATAGTCCAGAGGATAGCCACAGGGATGTAGATAGATAAAGAGTATCCATAGAGACAGAATAATGACATCATTGTCGGTGAAGTTGATTGCTGAAACAAAATAAATAAAGTTTATTAAACAATGTACAGTCAGCTTCATAAATCATACCATACTATCTTACTAATATTATAAATGCGAAAGTTTAGACGGATGGATGGATGGATGGATGGATGGATATTTGTTAGCGTTTGTAGCCTAAACGGCTGAAAGGATCTCCATGAAATTTGGCACAGGTTTAGAGCATAGTCTGGAAGAACACAAATGCTACTTTTTATTCCTGGAATAGTTACTTTAATAATAACTTATATACTTTAATAGTAACGTATTAATTGAGTTTTATAATGTTTACTTAATCATTCTGCAACGGTTCAACATATCTTATTGAAATTTGGCACAGATATAAAACAAAGTCTGGAGAATACATGGGATAAGCTTCATCCCAGAGAAATGTCCGGGTCCCGAGGGATACGTAGCTTTTTGTAATTTATATAGTTCGTTTGTTTTCTAATACCACGCGTACGGAGTCGCGGGCAACAGCTCGTAATATTATAAATGTGCAAAATTAGATGGATGGATGGATGTTAATGAAATTTAGTACAGATGTAGAGTATGGTATGGGAGAACACATAGGCTACTCTCTTCTATTTATTTCATGCGGACGGAGTCGTAGGCGAAAGCTACTATGCATACTTTACAAACTTGTACTGGCCTTCATTGTTTCAAAATATGCACTTTTCATCAATAACAAGTATTTATGGTTAGAAATGTAACTACAGACATAGCATAAAACAAAGTGTATTTAAGTTCCTATAGCTTGGTAAATGGCAATTTAGCTGTCATCCGATTCCTATTTTAAGTGCTTAAGGGTTCTTAATATTATTTACTGCTTACTGTTTTTGTAACTAATTATTATTTTAAACTATATAACTGTTTCTACAAACCTGTGTCTCAATCTCATCCTGTCCATCAGGCTGAGTGGTCCACTTGAGTGCGGCCCATAGAGCCAATGGTACAAGCCACACATAGCAGAATATCGCAGACGCCGCGTATGAGACAAGATGGAAGTCATATCGCCAGTGTACCACTTTGTTTGCACTTTGTAGATAGTTGGCTATGTTACCACTCACTGCTATTGTGAAAATCTGGAATAGATTATCAAATATCTTGCACTTCTAATTCTACTAATATTATAAATACAAATGTTTAGATGGATATTAGAATGCTAAAAGGATCTCAATGAAATTTGGAAAAAAAGTAGAGGAAAGTCTGGAAGAACACAGAGGCTACCAACTTTAGTTTTTTATTTAATTCCACATTGAATAGCAGGCAAAAGCTAATATACTAATATTTACTCGAAATAATATATTTCCAGATTAGAGTTTGTAAATTTATTTATTTTAACACTAACAAGAAAATAATCTCACCAATGTGACAGATATCCATATAGGTCCATACAAATCAGGTTTCCCTTTGATCCGTTCATCAAAATAGTTGCGAGAGACTCTCTGCGGCAACACTGATGATATAATCCGTTCTACCACTTCATTGGTGTGAACATCAAAATACTTCTGATAATATTCTATTGTCCAGAAGTTATGGTTTTCTGTTCAAAAAGAAATTAAATAAATATATTTAAATCAACTCTTAGATGTTCAAATTGTTATCTATATTTTCTTTATGTTATAAGAAATCTTAGTAAATTGACTGTGTCTCAGAAATAAGGCTTCAAAAGAATCCCTTAGAATATTGCTTATTAAGAAAATGTTTGAGTTTAACCACAATAACAGATTTCATTAAAACTTTATATAATCTCTAATATCAATTATTTGTAGTTTTAAAATTGATTTTCAGTGTTATTTAATCATGATATCTTAGATAAGCTATGTGTTATTCATACATTGATTCAGTCTTGATAAATTATATACTGAGTGGAATAATGAAAAATGTGCAATTTAAAAAAAAGTACATTTCAAAACATGTTAAAGAAAGAAATTACTGCCTCTTCCGAATTTTTACCATTCTTATAGATAGCAGTCATATTCTCTTGTAAGTAATCAAGACCATTCTTGACTGGCCTGTCAAAAATATAGGTGTAAAGTCGTCTTGGAATGTCGGACCTAAAGTGCGATTACAACTGACATATTATATTAATTTAAATATTGCAAACCAACTTTGTGGGACAGCTTGGGGTTCTTCAATGTTTTTTGGCTCTTCAAAACCATAAGTTGGATTCGACATATTATTGTATTGATTGGTGTGCACTGCTTCGACTTCGATTCGCGCACTGCGGTCATTGTGCTCCGGAGAATAATCCTGAAAATTCAGTAGTTCACCTGTGTTAACATTAGTCATGATTTAATTTAATTGGTCAATATTTAAATTGTACAGCAAATCACAAACAAAAATTACACTTTTCACTATAAAAGCCAACTTGACACAATTTTGTATGACAGTTGACATTTTAATGTCAATCATGTCAATGTCAAATCATACGACCAAAGCTGCCAATTGTTATTTTAATTTTTTAGCAGATTTAGGTAACTGTGCATTCATGTAAATTATGATGTAAGTTTGAGTAACTCGGATTGTAGGATAATTGACTTTACTTTCTTCTAAGTAGAACAAACAGCGAAGGGTACATATCTGATTCGTATTTACTTGGTAACGATAATTAAATGAATTATTGTTACCTAACGAAAGAGCTTCTTCTTAAACTAGTCCTAATTTGGTGTTTGGCAAGATAGTTTTACCGCATTTTGTACTGTAAAAGTCGGAAATTGATAATTTAAGTACTTTTGAAATACGCAGCAATTGTTTTTTTTTTCTTTAAAAATACTCTTTGCCCTAGCAACGATTCATGATGGCCGTCCGCCATTTTGTTTTCTAAAATAAAAAAACTGGTTCGTGGACTGTTTCCTGTTCTACTTGCTGTTTTGCTGTAGGGTTATTTCCTTGTGCCACGCAATTTAACTTTAATTATGTGTGTGTAATTTGTACGTGAGAAATCAGCGTATAATTGTGAAATTATAATCTACTTCACCGTGTTATCAGTGATAACGTAAGTTCAATACGTGCTTTGATGAAATTTCACGCCATGTTGAATGAAGCCACGTAACGAACATTTAGGTTTCATTTTTTCATTACAGTAATGTGCTGTTGAAGAGGGTTTGGTATGGTGAGAACAGCGGAAACTTTCACCGAGCAAGATGGCAAAGGAAATCGCAGAGGAGTATGCATCGAGCTTGGCAGATCTCACCGTGAACAGCAAACCTCTTATAAATATGCTAACAATATTAGCAGAAGAGAACATCGACCATGCCGGGGTTATCGTTGATACGGTGGAGAAACATTTGGAGAAGGTGATTTTACATTTTTAAATTGGCGGGCCTAGCAATGGGTCGCGGCACGGCGAAGTGGAGTCATGGTAGATGACGCACACTATGTTGCGTATTGTGTTTTGTGAGATTAATCAGATCTTTGTAACCAGTCCTTGCCAACGAACAGGTAACTCCTACCCATAGAACAATATAAAACCTTATATCTGTAGTGTTTCAAGGTTATAGTTGATTAGATAAAAGTAAGCAATTTAGCAGGGAATTGTAATTATTTTGAGCTTTGGTAATAGTGTTACTTTTATAATTAGTTAAACATAGTTCCAGTACTTTACATATTTCTTGTGCAATACATTGGAAATTTCGTAATAATTTTTGTTTTCATTCTGTTCTTCATAGATATTCTAATGCAACTTTACATTCATTTTTATTATCATTATAAATCATTGAAAAAACAGTGTAAATAATCTTTGTTAATGTCTTTAATTTGGAAAAAAAAATAGGAGATACCTGTTCGCACCACAATGCTAAACAACTGCCTTACCTTCATTGGTATGTAAAATTCAACATAACACTTATTCCATTTCAGTTGTGTACTTTTATCATAATAAATTTTTTTTCAAACTGAGTTCTTATTTATTTTCATATGACTGTGACAAATTAAACAGGTTGCGGAATCAAAACTTGTCTTATTCCTACCCGTATCATTAAAACAAAGTTTGTGATGTGAACACAAAAAAAACGGATGATCACTGGAAAGCCAATCTAGACTTGGTCAGCCGAGGGGTTTTCGGGATTAGAACATGTATTTTCCTCCATACAGGTTCATCCAGAAATCAAGCTGCCAGTACTCTATTTAGTTGATTCTATAATCAAGAATGTCGGTGGCGCATACACACAGAAGTTTTCACAAAGCATCGTAAATATGTTCACACGGACATTCAAACAGGTAATAATTGAAATATTTCATTTCCTAACATTCTATATAATGTTCCTATATTAATCATTATATTTTTTTAAGGTTGATGAAAAAATAAGATCCCAGATGTTCAAACTGCGGGAGACATGGCATGATGTGTTCCCCGCTACCAAGCTCTATCAGTTGGATGTGAAAGTGAACCTGATAGATCCAGCATGGCCTATCCAAGCGCAGCCGCAGCAATCTAACATCCATGTAAATCCAAATTTTCTGAAAAAGGTGTTTTTTTTAGTTGATTATGTTTCAATGTATGTTTTATTTTATGTTTCTGCTTTTCAATATTGGAATTTGCACACCTAAACCCAAAATTCTAAGTAGATACTACAATTATCAAGAAATTTGTATGAAAAATCCAAATTTCTTGATAAATCAGCCTTCGATTTTATTCTTATACATGCTTTTTACTATCTCAAGTAATGTTTTTCTACTTCCAACTTTGTAGCCTTAACAATATCTAAAATAAAGATTATTTCGCAGAATTCTGCAGCGGCACCAACAACCAGTGCTGCAGCAACGCTCACAGAAGATGAAGACAAGATGCACAGCATCCTCGCTAAGAAGGAACAAGAACTCCTCATGCTGAAAAGAAAGAAGATCGAAATGGAGCTGGAGAAAACACGCCGGCAGCTCGAGTTGGCAGAGAAAAATGCTAAAATGGTACATATCGTTTTTTTTTAATTTTTATGTTACCTAAGTCAGACAGTTTGGCATTATCAGTCAAAACCACTAGATTTAGCAATACAGTAGAACCTTGATAACTAAAACCTCTGTAACTTAAAAACTCCTATAACTTCAAAAAATAATATGTTCCCTTCCCATCAGAGCCCAAAACCTCTACAACATAGACCCTTGATAACTTAAAATATTTTGTGTTTCCCTTGGACTTTAACTTGAGGTTCTACTGTAAATATTGCTTAATAAGCAAAAATTGCTCAACTTTAAATGTTGTTTTTTTAATATATGTAATACTACTAGCATCTAGTGAAACAGATTTATAAAAAATAATTACAAATCCAGTAAATTCTATTTTCTCTTTAAAATTAACTCTTGACAAGTTATTGATGTAAAATCCATCTGTCTATATGAACATAATGATTATATTGTTTAGGATGTAATTATGTTTCATTATTGCTAGAAATATTGTTGTATTTCTGCCATTACATAATATAATAATGTATATCAGGGGGTTGGTAGCGGCGTGTCGGCTATGCCGGTGGCGGTGGTGAATCCCGCCCCTGCGCCCGCGCCCGCGCCCGCGCCTGCGCCTCCTATCTCCGTTAAGCAGCGATTAGGACCGGTGAGTATTGTTTTTTTTTAATGTGATGTGTGTTAATTGTTTATAACTATTATTTAAATATTTAAAAGGTGTTGAATGTGTTAGTCATAGTAAAAACTAGTTTTACGAAGGACTACGTGATGACGTCACAAGTCGAACTTTCAAGCACTTCCTGCCTCTCTATCGCTTGTACCGCGCTCTCGCTCGCACACACGGCTCAAGAATCTGTCATGTTATTTGTATCTCGCGTATTTCGATTGTCACATTTAAGTCCAATTATTAATAAATAAACTTTATTTTTATAGCAATAAACCTCTTTACGGAACTATCAGAATAATATTATAAGCTGAGTTAAATGTTAGATTAAATGAAACACCGTTTTTAATGTTTTTTGAGGAAGTCGTAAACTGTGCTTGGGATTTACCGTATACGTCATCTACAGTTAGGAAGACCTGTAGAACTAAACATAGCACAATCAATTGATATTGAAACTTGAGGAAAACTGATTAACTAACATTTTTGTTATTCTGTAAGGGTAGCGGATGTTTTCCGTTGGACCGATCGGCCAACCGATGAATCGATTAGTTTTTTTTCCATTGGATCTGTCGAATTTATAAAATCAATAGATTAATTGGGAAACACCCATCTTCACAGTGTACTTATCTATTCCAGCCAGTAAACAAGCCGGCGGCGGGTCGCATTGCGCCCGTCAGCGGAGCCCTGGTCTCCGCGCGCCGCGACCCGCGTCTGGCGCGTCGGCCGCAGCCCGCGCCCGCAGTGCCCCCCCTGCCACACGTGCCCCACGTGCCTCCAGTGTCCGCAGTGTCCACAGTGCCTCACGTACCCCGCGCCAACAACGGCCCGCCCATAGCACCCAACGTGTTCGACATTAAACCCCTCGACAGGGTCACAAAGCGCAAGAACGTCATCACTATCGACGTACGTCTCGACCCCAGCAAAGACCCGCGTCGCCGCGACCCGCGTCTCGCGGAGCGCGCGCGCGACCGCAGGCACAAGAAGAACGACGACGAACGAGAGAGAAAGCGAGATGAACTCCGACAGGAGAAGGACAAGGCGCGCGATAACGCCTTCAACGTCCGCACCGCGGTCGACGACTACATCGACCGACTGCAGATATCCGATCCGAAAAAGATCAACAAGCTGCCTCCGATCCCCAAAATAAATAGGGACGAGAATAAAGACGACGACGAACCCGCGCCCACCAAAAAGAGAAAGGAGAATCCTAAAGAGCGCAGAAAGAAGAAGGAACAGAACTCCAGTAAGGAGAGTTCCAGCAGCTCCTCGCCTGAAAAACGACTAAAGTCTAAAGAGATGAGAAAGAAGCCTAAAACGAAGCTGGAGGTGGAGGAGGTGCATCCTGTTGTGACGGAACCTGTCACGTTCAAAGTGCTAAAGAATTTCAACAAAGACCACTACATGTGCAGGAATAAAAAGAAATCTGAGAGCCCGGAGCGGGAACCTGAAAAGACGGAAGTTGTGAAACCTAATAGTGAACCAAGTAAGATATCCATCCATGTTAAAAGCGCGTGGGTAGTTGTAAAACATGAAACTAGTCAATCGAACTGTGATATTAGGTGTAAGGAAACTTGCCACAAGTTCTGTGTAATAATAAATAATTTTTTACTACTGCAGTATTCATATTGAAGTGTTTATCGACGGCTTTGTACCCTTTACTAGTAAGTTACGTTACCGTCTCGTTTACTACTTTATATCCCATCAGGTAACGGTGTGGTATTGAGGTAAAATTTCTCCTGGAGCTAATTCTGATAACAAATTACTCAGTACAAAAACACTAAAATCTGGTCTAATAGTTACAAAAAGTGATTTCCAAATGACGTATACAACTATAGAAATATGGGATGTAGTTTTTAGTTACACTTTCTGTACCCAAAAGAATATAGTTAAACATGTGTTTTACTGTGACCTTTGAATTGAAGTGGACATTGGTGGTACATATTTGTCTATAAATATGTATAACCACACTCTTTTTGATACAGGTAATTTATTATTTATTTATCAAATAATAACGCTTTGGAAGTCTATACATTTTTACATTAATATAATCATATTTTTATATAAAAGGGTTAACATTTTTAAAATAATTTTAAAACAAGTTTTTATGGTAAGGCCCTTTGTTTAATATTCCAAAGATTGATAGACTAAATTTATTTTTTTAATATTCACCTATTCTTTTTTAAATTAACTTTAGTATAAATCATAAATGCTCCAGGAGTTGAGTGAAGTTAGGTCAATTCATACTATAGAAGCAATAAAGAACAAATATGGAACAAAAATGATAGAAAAGTCATGTATTTCTGAAATATCGAAACGATTTACGGAACCCGACATTGGTTATAGTAAAACAAAGATAAATATGAACCAATCAGATGGCTACGGGAAAGAAGTTACTGGAAGAAAGAAGATTTTTTTTTTTCATTATTTTGTCAAAACATGTAGAATTGCAATAACTTTTTAAAATTTGGTTTTTCTAACAATAGTGTGGGGTAAATGGTAAAATTATTGTTCATTACATTTTTTGCACAGTTTCTCAAGATATATTACACACATTTTACACAATAGTTTTTCTTCATATTCATCTCTTCGAAAAAATCCTTATTAAATCCAACTTGTAAATTGACATTTTAGTTTTAAACAACTAAAGAAGGCAAAAACAAAGTTTTTTTGGTTTCAAATCTTTTATAAGGTTTTTTTTTTGTTTTTTGTTGTCCGTGACATTACTTTTGCACAAAGGTCCATTATAAATGGGTCCATATATTTATACATATCTTACAAGAACAGTTTGTGCAGAAATACTCATTTTTGCACAAACTTTTCTATACATTTTTTGTTACAAAAAAAATCTTAAAAAATCACAAGTGCACAAAAATGGCGTGAAATGTTGCTTACAAGCTACACTGGTTGTGTAACTCCTTTCATACTAGAAAATCGTATTAACATTTGAAGTGTTAACTCACAAAATCAAAAAAAAAGCTTGAACGTTTCATAAAAAAAATGGAGTTCATCAAATACTGACTTCGATGCCGATCAATGCGTCGTCGTAAAAAATGTTGAAGGAAAAATGTGTAAGAGCATTTTTCGGCGTCTTGACTAAAATCCGTGGATATCCCTATCAACACAATTGCCGAGTACACTTATCTAAAAAGTGATTGCATGGAAAATGTTGACTTTCTTTTACTTCATGTTTGCGTCCTTTATAATTTCTTTGTTTTTTTTTTTCAATCGCGTCTTGCACTTTCTTTTTTCTTGTTTTGTTTGGATTTTGTTATCTAATTCAATTTTGTGGTCAATATGTAAGTATAGTACTGTAGCAAATATGATAAAAGTAATTAATCTTTAAATGTAAATAAAATATACCCAGTGCTTTATTAATCGCTAAATTAACTAAAAATACACAACCCAACTAAGTTCACTAAATAACTAACATTGGAATGTATTCGATGGTTATTGTATACGAAGTTATAGTGTCATATTTATTTTTACTTCAATTTTTTCTACGTAATATCTACTGCGTTTTGATTTTCTTTATCTTCTTTGTTCACAACCACATCAATCAAGTTTTATATATTTCCCCGACTCATTTTCGTGTAGCGTAAAGTTTATTGTCTCTTTATTTTTCTCATATTTCTATGCATATTTTCCTTTCATTTCTTTCACTACTTAATTTGACTAAATACTAAATGCTGAAGAAAGGATTCTTGAAACTAAGAGTCAGAGTACTAGAGTACAAAGTACAGCAGTAATATTCATATATTCCCATATTAATATCAGAAAAAATAAAACTTAAAATCAACAAATCCAAGCAAATAGTCTGGTGTGAAATGTCAAGCGTAAGAGTATATTGCATAATAAAAGTACAATGGTCTAACAGTAAGGTCAACAGCAGAAGACTAGAAAGAAGACCCGAAGGAGTTCAGCAGACGTAAGATTGCATAAAAATTGAGTGACTTTTTCAGATGTTCTCGACGTTGTTATGGAGACCAAGGACGTTGACCTTAGGGTCTTGCAGCCGGTGCTCGAGGCTGGAGCCGCCGCGGTCGCGCAGAAAAGACCCTCCACAGAAACTGTTGAAGGCAAGCCTAAGAAGAATAAACACGATAAATTTGATATGTAAGTAATAATATTTTTATTTAATGCAGTGCGGACAGTTAAGTTTGCCGGCTTTGAAATGCTATCGATTGTCTTAGTGTTAATGGTAAGTAAACTCGATTTAATTTTAAAGGAAGGTGGTTCAGGAGCGCTTTTTCTATCCAGACAATTCTAAGATACATTATATAAATCCAATAGTAATAAAACGTAAATTCACAGCTTATTCGGTAACGAGGATGTGGATCTCCGTCAATTACCACAAGTAGACGAAGTGGTACCTCCCCCGCCACCCACCATAACAGAGTCCCTTAAAGTTGAAGTCTCCCTTGAAGACGTCAAGGACGAGTGTCCGGTCTCCACCAGTTCGCCCAAACAGAAAAACTGGCACGAGGTTAAGGAGAAGAAAGATGACACAAAGAAAACACCCTCCAAATTGGATCTTGTTAGAGCGAAACTCGCAGAGGCCACCAAAGGAAAAGATCGATTAGGTCGACCGCTACTTTTCAGTAAATCGCCGAGTAAGTATTTTTTTGTATTAAACAAATTAAATATGACAACAAGAATAGTATATGTTGACTTATGTACTTTATATCTCTTGCAGAGACCAGAATGAATGACCCGTATAAAAGTTTACACAATTTCTTTATTCACGCACTAACAGGTATTGAGAGGGAGAGGCGGCGCACGCTCAGCTCTGACGACGGTGACCAGAAGTCCGACAGCGGGGACGATTTCACACCCGAACACAACAAGAAGACCATATCGATTATCATGTCCCAAGCGAAGGAACAGTTCAGCGACGGCAAACTGAATAAGGACCAGTACAACACTCTGATGTACCAAGTGCTGCAGCTCAACGAGAAGCTAAAGCTAAAAGAGGCCAAGCAGAGAGAGTCGCTCGAGCTGTCCAAGCGGAAGCTAAAGGCGCACATCGACGAAGAAAATCACAAGGTCGTCAGCCCCAAGTCTTCGCCCTCCGACATGAACAACTTTGGCGATATAGATGAGAGAGTCGCTCCGACCCCGTACTTCGACACCCCGCCCGAAAGCCAAAACTTCATGCAAGACTCCGACATGAGAAAGAAACAGATGGGACCGGACTCGCCCGACGGCAAGAATCAAGCTCTGCTACCCCTGCCTCCCATGATGCCCATGTACATGGCTCCCTTTCCCATGTGGAGGGGACAGGCAAGACCTCGGATGGACGATTTTGGACCTCGAAGATTTAGAGGTCCGATGCCATCGTTCTATAGAGGAAAGTTCGATAAAAGGGGTCCGCCTAGATTACCCTTTGACCCTCGCCTTCCGTTACCACTGCCGACGCCCAAGCTGGGCATGTGCCAGGGGGAGAGTCCACTGTTGCCCTATGAGCGCACGGCCTCGCCACCCCCCATCGGCACGCCCGGACACACCATCCCGCCGACTAACAAGAAAATCCTCGACTACATCGACCAAGATCCCGTCAAAACGATTCAGATCGACGGAGTACCCCGGGAGATTAGATTCTACGGGGAGACCGCAGTTATTATGCTGGACTGGGACGATCCTCGCGAGATCAAGTTCCTGCCTGGCTGCAGGCGTGTCACGTTCGACAACAAGGATTCAGTCATCCTCAACTTCAACGAGGGCTACAAGCAAGTGGAGATCGACGACCAAGTCTTCGACATTAGATTTGGTGCTCCGACGCGGGAGCTATATATCAACGGTCGGTGGTACGAGTGCTTTTTCGGCGGGCAGCCGCTCGGCGTGATCATAGACGGCAAGCCGAGACTGTTGCACCTGGAGGGACCGCTGCCGCAAGTCGATATCGGTAAAGCGAAACGTACGGACCTCGTCGCCGGAAAAATTAACCTTATCATAAACGCGACCCAAATGTGCCCCGTTTACCTGGACGCTAAAGTGCAAAAGATTATGATAAACGGTCAGTTCTTCACGCTGCGTTTTGTTGATGCTCTGAGGACGGTGTTAATCAATGAGAAACCATTCAAAGTAGAATTCGGAGATCCGAGGCCTATATTCATAGGGAAGGAGAAGTTGTTCATCCGATTCTCGGCTCCGCCGCGTGGCATTAAGCCGGGGCAGATTCAGATCGCGGACATGGAGGGCGTGACAGTGCCCGCCAGCCTGCCCGCGCCGGCGACCGCCAGCCCGAACAGAATCGAAAGAGATTCTGAGGAAGCAGACGAGGAACCTATAGCCAGACCTAAGAAATCGCCAAGTCCCGACAGCGAAAACCAAGGTATCTTTTTAATTCTCCCTTTTTACCTTCTTTTATCTATTTTCTACCTTCTGTTCTTTTGGTGTTAATGATCATTATTTCAGGTCTGGATATGTTGGCAAGTTTAATGCCATCCACCATTGCGCCAGCGTCAGGTTCAGAGTACAGTGTTGCTGAACCGATATTCAGCAAGACTGACAAGATCCCGGGCCTGGAGACCCCTGCCGAGGAGAAGCCGGCCCAGCTGCCGATACTTGGCAATATCAACATTAACGACCTATTCGCCAAGCTCGTCGCCACCGGCATCGTACAAGTCGCTAAAGATAATAAAGAAGATGTTAAAACAGATGAAATGATACCCAAACAGGACAAGAATGTTATACGAAAAGTGGATCTACTTAAACCTGAAACTTTAAAGATGTAAGTTAACTTTGATTTTTTTCATTTTCATCATTTGCTATTTTACCATTAAACTGAGAGTTTGAAACGACAGTTTGAGACGCCGACGAGTTTGGACGAACGGTATTATGCCACGCAAAATTTCTTTTTCGTATGCTAATACATTTTTGGTTGTTTTGTAGTTTTAAGGCCTGTCTCGTCTTTGGCTCGTGAGGCTGAGATAGCTTAAAAATGACGTCACTGACATAAGGGAAGAAAAATCCGATATTTTCATCACATATTTTACACGTTGGATTGTTATCAGACAATTTACAATATGATGGGACAGGCCTCGAGACTGTTATTGTAGAATATATTGAAAGTTTTAAGTCTTTCTCTCCGAGACGTGTTACATTCTGAGAAATAGATGAACGAGACAGAGTAATTTGAAAGTGTCGGTATGAAGACTTAGATATAATGTCGCGTGCAGGCCGCAGCCGGCGCTGGCGCAGCGGCTGTACGGCGGCATGCAGTGCAGCGGCTGCGGCGCGCGCTTCCCGCCCGAGCACACGGTGCGCTACTCGCAGCACCTCGACTGGCACTTCCGCCAGAACCGCCGCGAGCGCGACTCGGCGCGCCGCGCGCACTCCCGCGCCTGGCACTACGACCTGCCCGACTGGCTGCGCTACGAGGAGCTCGAGGAGCTGGACGAGAGAGGTATCCCATGCACACCATCACACATCCTCACTCAGGGACAATATATCTCAAAACAATTTACTTTAATAGCGAGAATATACATACCAGTCGCTGTCACACACATAAGCTACTAGTATGTATAAATGGTAACTCGCATTGAAGTAGATAGCACAATACTTGATTTTGTACATGTAAGTTGAGGGACAAGGGGGGGGTAGCTTGACAACTGACGCGTCATGTCTCGCAATATCTTGTGAATAGCCTTTGCAGTTTACAGGTTTTT